CCTTCCTTCCGAGGAGTGGCTGGTGGGTTTGAACCGCCAGCCGTCTGGTTAGCAGGCAAGTGTCTTAGCCACTATGCTACCAGAGCTCCTATTTAAAATAAAGTATTATATAAATTCGATTTGCTATTATGTCCCTAACTATACATTTCAGCAGGATATTTATGAGGAAACAAAACACATTCTGAAAATATGTTGATTCAGTGGATTAAAAGATGAAAATTGCAGAAATAATCTTAAGCCACCTGAAAGAAGAATACTTTTAAAATTCACACTTAACATGAAAAATATTCATCACATCATACCACTTAAAAATCAATTTATAAACATAAAGACAGAATAGAATGAAAAAGCAAGGAACAACCCTGACCCCCTCAAAAAAAATTAAATAAATGAAGAAAATAAAAATGATAATGTTATGGATTGAGCTGTGTCTCCAATAAATATGTGTTGTAACTCTTAACCTCTATGCCTGTGGTTTTAATTCCATTTAGGAATGAATTTTCTGTGATGTTAATGAGGCCAGGATTAGGGTAAATTGTGTCTTGATATAAAAGATATAAAAGGAGCAAGCAGAGATAGGGGAAGACAGATGCCATGCCACATGAAGACCACCAGGGAATAGGAGCTGAAGAGACAAGGACCTTCTCCAGAGCTGACAGAGAGAGAAAGCCTTCCCCTAGAGCCAGGACCCTGAATTTGGACTTCTACATTCCTAACTCAGCCACTCCTCGGAAGGAAGGTGGGGCAATCTACTTCCGTAGTGATACTGCCTTAGAAACCCAAGGAGCAGTTGTTATGAGTTGGGTCCGACTTGACAGCACATAGCAACAACAACAACAGACTCCTAACTGTGAGAAAAGAAATTACTGTCATTAAAGCCACCCACTTGTGGTGTTTCTATTATAGCAGCACTAGATGACTAAGACAGATGGATGCTATATTTCATAGTTATCTTGGTGTATTGACATTCTTCACCGAAGGCATGTTATATTTCTAGGTTTCCAACTTGGAAGTCATGTAGTAATTGATATTTTGCCCATTTACTAGAAGTATAAAGAATCAATTTAAGTTTTCTTTTAACTTTTCCTGGCACTTCATTTAAAATAAAATAAGAATGTCGAAGGTGAGACAATAAGATTAAAGCTTCCTATGGGGATTTTTTTTTTTTCCTTCTCACTCCATTAGGAAAAGTTTATGAGGATCTGGCACTTACTCTAGAATACCTAAATTTTTCTGAGCTATAAGAACAAATGAATTAGTATAGATTCTGAGGAAGGTACAAAGGCCACTTCTTCAAAATCCTTTTCCTACCTTCATCTTAACTTCTTTTATATTTTTCCAAGAGAAAATTCTGAGGTGTCTGTCTCAGGTGGTTTTGATCCATCTCTAGAAAAGTCTTGTTTCCTGTGAGGCTATTAAACATTTCTATAAGGCAAGGAAGTTTGGAGAGTTTTTTAAATGACAATTCTTGACAAATGAAGAAAGATAGTGTCACCAGTTTTGCTTATGAAACATTTTAACACTTTTCCAGCTACACAATGCAAAAGCAGCTGCTTTGTGAATTTTATTTTAGAGGAAGATAGAAAAGCTCTCTGTAGCCTGGCAAGGTAGAAAATATTTAGAAAACCCAGGTAAATATCAATATAAAACTAAAAAGAGTAAAGGACAACCTGTTTTTCCCTGGGGTGGTTTTTTCACTTGTGGGTCTTTGCCCATCTCCCAACTTTTCAGTTGTTTTCTCATCACAATTAAGTGTCCAGCATTGATTTAGTATTTAGAAGAAAGGCATTTTTCTTAGGAAGATTTAGGACTCAGGAGCCCCTATATTCAAAGAGTCCTACTGTGTTATGAGACTCTGAGTACTTTGTAATGAAGAAAAGAGATTATCAGATTAACTGAGTCAAGTTACTGCTTATAAAATTGATTATTTGTCTTGTTTTCAAGAGACACCTCACTGATATTTGTTTGACTATTTTGCGAACAGGGTGGTGGTGGGAGGGGAAGATACTTTTTCTTTTGGAACTGGGAGCAATTCTCTAACCTGTTACAGAAAGAAGACTTCTGTACTTAACCATTATATACTAAAAAAAAAGATTGGAGAACAACATCAATTTTAATAACTTCTGTATAATTTTCGTTAATTTTATTTCTTAAAAGCACTGTATTAAAATTTGGCAACTCCCAGCTTTACTCTATAAAGCATAATTGACTATGAATTACCTTTTCAATGAAGTCGCTCTATAGTCTTGCAATAAATAGCCACTACTCCCACAGTGGCCTATCTGAACATTTGCATGTTCTACTATCCAAAATGTGTGTTCTAATGTAGAACTTCTCTTATTTCCCTATAATTTACATTTAAAGAAAGAAATAAGGATTAGATAAATGACTATGGCTTGAGATCATTCTACTAAAAAAAAAGCACATAGTTTTTTTTATAAATCCAAATATAACTTTAAGTACAAGATCGACTTAAAAAAAAAGTTAAACCACTAGTTAACTAGTTAAAATACCATCCACTGGGAGCTCTGGTACCTAAAGCACTTGACTGCTAACCAGAAGGCTGGCGGTTCAAACCCACCAGCCACTCCTCGGAAGGAAGATGGGGCAATCTACTTCCGTAGTGATACCGCCTCGGAAACCCAAGGAGGGGTCGCTATGAGTCAGGTCCAACTCAATGGCACATAACAACAACAACAACATACCATCCACTGTCTCACTTCATCCCTGACCCTCCCCACTTTCCAGGCTTTCCCATCTATGTACCTTGTTCCAACTGGCACCTTTCTGCTGAGACTCCCTTACTTAAGACTATAATTTCATTTAGTGAATTCTTGAGAATGGTAGAATTTGCTTCAACAGCCATTTGTTCAAAGGTTCTATTGAGAGCAGTTTATTTCTTACGTGGGTATCTGTAAAAGTATGCTCCCTCGTGAATTAAGCCTTTTTAATGACAAAGTTTTTTTGAAGATAACAGAACCCCATCAGCCTTGTCAGGAGAAGTTCCCTGACCTCATTACTGCTAATGGATCATGGTAATTCTACCTGTTGTGGAATCTCATGTTCAATTATACAGGATAATGGGTGACTCAAAATTTAGTGTCTCAACTATAGTCCTTATGATTGGGCTTACTCCATTTCTTTCAGAAGTGAAGGAAGGTTTTGAGCAGAATGGTTCAAACCAAAGTTATTACCAATATTCAGACTGTCCTGTTTTAAATTTATCTGATATGATTTTAAGACAAGGAGATTGCTGTGTAACTTTAGATTTCACCGATCCTTTTGTAGGAAAGTTAGGGCAGGTTTATTCATTTTTAAGTGTTAATTCTGAAATTCTAAAAGTTTGCAAATGGCATTTGTGTTTGGATTCACAAAAACTCTAGATATTCAGAGTTTGAATTATTTAAACTCCCACAACACATGCACTTTTGCTTTTCAAGCATGAGTTATAATTTAATTAAAAACTTCTGGTGCATTGCTAGCATTTTAAATATTAATATGTTCCATGGATCACTTTCGATTATCTACCATCTAAAAATTCTTGAAGATGTCAAATTTTTAAGATTCCCAAAGTTGTACTTGGAATTGTCTGTTGAGTCAAAGGGGACTGTGATAATTACACACATCCATTAGGATCAGCAGAGGAGATAAACTTTGGGGAGGCTTAATGGGCATGTCTCAGTGACAGCTAGCAAAGAGCATTTGGCATGATTAAGGATGGATTTGAATGCAGTTGAAAATATACTCTAATTATGGACACCCAGTGGAAGATGCACTACAAATGTTAAATTCCCCAGAAGCAGAGTGGTGTGGCAGGGAAGCTTTGAAATCCACTGTGGCCATCATCCAAATTCTTCTCTTCCCTTTACGTCTTTCTGCTGTCAGAATCACTTTGTGATGCCCAATTGGGCTGCCTCCATTTCTGCAAAGAGGCAACCTGTTGATCTCTGTGTTTCAGATTGTCCGACGGTACATCAAGGACTGGCTTGAAAGAAAGAAACCTTCTTTTGGTGCCGTCAGCAGCAGCGTGCTCCTCATGATCATCTACACAACATTCTGTGACACGTTCTCTAATCCAAATATTGACCTGGATAAATTCAGTCTTATTGTCATAGTGTTCATAAGTAAGTTGGAAAACTGGATATCCTTACTATTCCTCAGTCTCCTCAATAGCAATGTGTAATGACTTGTATGCTCTAAATTCCTCTCAAACATTAATTTAGTTAGAAGAGAATATTTAATTTCCTATTATATTTACTCAGTAACTTTAGCATGTGTATATATTCTTTCAAAACATGCCAATTATAAATTTAGGGTCTTACTCTCCTTTATTTTTTATGTCTGATGCATTGTTGTCTGATTTACAATAGTTGATGCCTAAGAAGCCTTAGTGTCTATCAAATTTAATATTAGATTGAGTGCTTTGTCACCCACTTATTTTATTATAACTTTAAACTGACCATACCCCTTTTGGGGAATTAAAAACAAGATTTATAATATATGATACTACTATCTGTATAAGTATCATAAGTGGTTGCAGTGATTAAAATATGAATATTCACATGATTATATTTTCTATTAGTCTACTCACAGTAATATTTCATTTTAAGAAGCAGCAGACTGTAAAGTGCAGGTATCTGTTAAGTTTCAATAATAAACCTTTTGTTCTATTTATATTATCATATCAATATTATATAAATTATATAAATATTGTAATATCGAAGAATATTTTGTTCTTAAAATCACAAGTTATTTGAAAATGCATCTTATATGTTACAACATTTATATTTTGCTATAAATATTCATAGTATAAACCACCTTTTTCTAAATTGACCAAATAACCAAATCAAAGAGGACTTTTGATTTCCCCTGAATACTACTATCATGGGTTATGTCTGGGGATAGGTAAGACTTAGTGTTACAGTAAATATACACTACAAATACTGTTTTCAAAGTACTAATTTAGATTTTTTTTTTCTTTCAGTATTTTCCATTCAGCTGAGCTTTATGCTTTTAACTTTCATCTTTACAACAAGGTAAGTGATTTTGTATCTCTTGCTGCTGTTGGTTTGTTTCCTGAAAGAATAATCATGCTCTTTACTTGATTTCTCTGCCATAGTTCTATCCTTGTTTCTCTCCTGTCTCTGTGACCATTGTGCCTTCCTCCTGACACCCTCAAATTGTGGATGTTACCAAAGGATCTGTCCTCAGCCCTTGTGTCATCCTGTGCTTCACATTATGCTTAGACAACCTCCTCCTTGTTATTGACTCAAGCTGTCATCTTCATGCTGTTGATTTTCAAGTCTAGACCTTCCAATCCAATGTTATTCTTGAGTTCTAGCGCCACTTTTCGAGGAGCTCTGGTAGCATAGTGGCTAAGACACTTGCCTGCTAACCAGACGGCTGGCGGTTCAAACCCACCAGCCACTCCTTGGAAGGAAGGTTGGGCAATCCTACTTCCGTAATGATACTGCCTCGGAAACCCAAGGAGGGGTCGCTATGAGTCGGGGCCGACTCGACGGCACATAACAACAACAACAACAGCGCCACTTTTCACTTACGTTTAGAGACCTTCACATAAATGTCTTAGCAAGACCTCAGATTCAAGATACTCAAGATGGAGTTAATCTTCTTCCTCAAAATTTCATCTTCTTCTCACATTTCTGTATTTTTTAATGGAACCACCATCCTCAGAGGTATCTTTATTGGACTCCTTGGCATCATTATTTTAAAAATCTCTTCTTTCTGCCTCTATAATATTTTTTGTGCTCCCAAAGCCACTTTTGTCATTCAGGCTCTTCTTGCTCTTTTTGCCCTCTACTGTTGTAATGGATATCTTACCAGTGTTTCCATTTCTCAGCCCACCTGTATTTAATGCATTTCCAGTACAGCTTCCAGTGACCCAAAGTTCTGATAATAGTTGTCTTGTTTAGAGATATTCAATGGTTATCCATTGTCTTCAAGATATAGTTCATTCTGAAAGCATAAGTACAAGACCCTCTAACTTTTTTTTTTTTTTTTTTTTGCAATCACATGAACCCCTATTAGCATTCATGCTCTCTAAGCTTCAGGTGAGATGAATTCCTTACTGCTCCCTAGAAGTATTTCTGTCCCTTGCTTAGGGTAATCCCATGTCTTAACTGGTCTCCATCTCCTACTTCATCTTTACTGTTCTTAAAGGCACTCATCAAATACAACTTCTCCCACCAATATTTCACATTTAACAGATACCACTTAAGCATTTGGTATGAGAAAAGTACCATAATAAGTATCACAAGATGAGAGATGATTCCAATCCTGCTTCACTCTACAGGCTAGATATGTGCACTGCTAAGTGTCTGCTGAGTGCTACAGTAAGCCAACCTGCAGTCATTTCAAAAGTGTCTTTTCTGAAGAAAGTAACAGAGCAAGCTTTATGGAAGTGATGGGGTTTGACATGAATCATAAAGAATGGCTAATTATTCAGCAAACAGAGAAGCAAAGAGGGGGATTCTTGGTGAGACAAAAAGCAAAAATGAAAAAGTGGACATATATGCACATATAAACACAAAACACAGAGGGACAATAGTAGTAGAAAGAGATTAAAAATAATAATAATTGGAAAAGCAGTATTGGCCCAGATTGCAAGGCCATTGAATGCAGGATATAGAAAAGGCCTGATCTGTTTATAAGGCTTGAAACACTGTCAAAGCAGTGGATACGCTCAGGCCCCACATTGGGCACTTGGTTGTTATAGTACTTGGTAGAGCACTAGGCTGATTGTAAACAGTCAATAAAAATTTATTGATTGATATAATTTGAATCATTTTCCCAAGCTTGTGGTTGTGATTTATGAAGTAAGAGTAAAGCCTGGAGCTATTAAAGTCATAGAGAAAATGTGACTTAATTGACTAAGACTGAGAATGGGAGCTATTTTAAAGTTCTTTTTGTAAATGGCTTCTTATGTCACTTCAGAAAAGACACTTGGTTTTCAGTTCCTGTTTGTTTGCAGGTCCTTATGGCAGAAGTAATCATTAGACTTACTGATCCTACCTGACTAGGTATGCTCAGTGACTGAAAGAAGCCTGGAAAAGATAGAGCACAAAATAGCCACTACTGGGATTGCTGAAAGGGAGAGGAGTATAATAGCTACTTGAATTAAATTTGGAATATTCAGCATAGGGTAGATTGGACTTCCATAAGGATCTGTGGCTTTGGAACCCTTCTATTCTGCTTCACTCCACCTTCACTGAAGTTCTGTCACTTTTAGACTTCTTGGACCCACTATCAGACATGCATATTGCTTGATAAACAGACTATGGGATGGTTGCAGTCATACTCCAAGGTAATGGTTATGAAACCCCAAGTCATTGCACCAAAATTTGGAGATTTTTCAATTGCATAAAATTTAGAAGATGGTTTTCACATTCCCTTTTTGTACTAAAAGGACTCATAGTTCTAGGGGATTTTAATGGAGGAATGAGAGATACCAACACTGATTGATCCCCTGTACTCTGTGCCAGGCACTGGGCAAGGTGTGGTGCATGTCTGACAGCAAAGGCTATGATGGCAAGCAGGATAGCTAGAGTTAGATCCATTTCCACTTGACTGCTAAGCTCAGGCTTTTGTTCACTGTGCTAAATGATTTTAATTATTTTTAAAGTTCACAATACTTGTTTTGGTTGGAGAATTTGTAGAGATTATTTAACTGAAGTATTGAAGTTCACATACATAAGCAACTTAATCAGAGATAACAAGAGTTTTGAAGTAGGGCCTTACTGGTTTATACTCTGTTGAGTTTGATTTTCTTTTTTCTATTTTTTTGGTCCTTCCTACTTGAAGTTGGTGAAACTGGTCTGTATTTTGCTCGGATTTTCCTTACCAATTCGGTAAATCTGAAACTATTCTGAATATCAAGAGATAAAAATCTCCACATAGAACTGGGTCTGTGTCTACTCTATATCATGCTACTGCACTCAGATGATGAAAGTGTAGCATAGAGCCCGGAGAGACCCAGCCTAGAAAATTCAGCTTTCCTGCAACACTCTGCTTACCTGGTTAGCATTTCTTACAGGGACTCACCTGGATGCTATTGTTACCACTCTAATGTCTGGCATGTATTTCTACTATGAGTATGAAAAATAGATTTAAGAATTATTATTCTGTCTTATTTATTTGCCGGGAGCTCTGGTAGCATAGTGCCTAAGGCACTTGACTGCTAACCAGAAGGCTGGCAGTTCAAACCCACCAGCCACTCCTCGGAAGGAAGGTTGGGCAATCCTACTTCCGTAGTGATACTGCCTCGGAAACCCAAGGAGGGGTCGCTATGAGTCGGGACCGACTCGACGGCAAATAACAACAACAACAACAAATTTATTTGCCTACAGAATGGAGTCAGGGTTAAAAAGCCCAACTTGGGAGTCAAACAGAGTTGGGTTTGAATTTCGTTTAATAGTTTGTAACTTTTGTTAGTTTCCTCATTTGTAAAATGGAGTTAGTAGTAATAGTACCTATCTCATAAGGTTGTTTGGAGAAATCAATAATATTCACATGAAGTTCTTAGCATACTATCTAGCAAGTGCTTAATAAATATTCACCACTAATAGAATTATTTATTATATCAAAATATTTTATCTGTTATATCAAAAGCTGACAATGGAAAAGAGGGAATTAACTTTTCCAGTCTTATAATACATTCTTTCTGACTTTTCTGTGTCACCATCTGATTCATCAAACCAGAGTCAGCTGTCCATAGTGACCTAAGCTTTCTGCAACTTTGAGAACTGTCAAAGTTTACACAGTGGTGACAAAACTCAGAAAACTAAAGCCATAATCAAGAGCCATTAAATGTGTGTGTGTATGTATAAAAGAAATATATATATAGATATCATACATGTATCATATATATATATCTATATATATATCTATATATATAGATATATATATAGCGACCCCTCCTTGGGTTTCCAAAGAGGTATCTCTACAGATACTCCAAGAAGGTATATCTCCAGTCTTCCTTCTGAGGAGTAGCTAGTGGGTTTGAACTGCCAGCCTTCAAGTTAACAATCAAATGCCTTAGGCACTACGCCACCAGACCTCCCATATCTCTCTATATACATTAGATAGATAGATAGATAGCAGTTTGGTAGGCTGATAACTAGAATAACAGAAACCTAGAGTGTCATTGGAGTTATAAAAGAAACCTTAAAAACATGAAAAGGAAGAAAACAAATACTTAACTATTTGAATAGGTGTTTTAAGCCTTATCAGTGTCTTTTCAATCAGATGTTTCAGTCTGACTCTCACCAGCCCAAGGAGGAAAAAAGGCAGCTTGAAATGAAGGTGAGAGGGAGAGAAGGAAGACGGGCATTGTTATTACCATTTGAAATTGAGGCAGCAAAGCTGCAGAGCCCAGAGAAGCTTATTTAATGCCACACAGCTAATGACAGATGATGTCTTCCCCTAAAATGAGTAAAGACAAAACACAGGTATAGAGGTTAACAAAAGAAAGTATTTTACATGAAGTTTCTTCCTCTAAAAACAATGGGTTTAGACAGAGCTATCTCAGAGGACCTTTTCTATGATTCTGTGATTCTACTAGTAAAGCCTTCTGACATGTTTTCCTTTGTGGGTACTGCAAAATAAATATGATGTGGAAAACATTGATTGAAATCTTTGTAAGAGAGAATAAAAAGACCAGTTGGGAAGAAAAGGAAATAAATATCTCAAGGGAAGTCAAAGTGATCAAAAGAATTATAAAAACAGGATAAAAAGAAAATCAATATTAAAAAGAGATAAGGTGGGGTTAGAAAATAAATAATAATGTCATTCCTTTTAAGAATGTCAGCAGAAGTAATGGAAATGTTAATCACTGAAAATAATTATTAACATTATTACCTAAATGTACTGATCTTACCAGAATGCCTACTTTTTCTATGTATCGTCATGCCCTGTCACATTGAGCCAGCCCTTGACTGAACATAGCCGTGGGTCCGTTTCTTGCCATAATAGCTGCTATTATCCATTATGTTTTGTGGAGGTTTTTTTGTTTTGTTTTTTAATAATTTCCTTCCCAGAAGGTAAGCTTATCTCTAAGAGTTGGGGAAACCTCCTGATTAGCTGTGTGAATTCAGGGAAGTTGTTGAACCTCTCTGTACATTAAGTTCCTTTTTTGGAAGAATGGTTGTAATACTATCTACCTCCTAATTCTGTTCAGAAGAGAATGAAATACTGGATGCAGTGCTTAGAAAGATGCTCAGTAAACGCCTACTGCTGTGGTTACTCTTGGTCATCATTATTAACGAAAGGCTAAATAAGTATCTGCTCTATTGGCTTTCCCTATGGCACATACTGTTATTGTAGAGCTAGAATATAAATCAATCCCATTTAGGGAGAATATTGTTTCTAACCTTAAAAATTCAATTGTTATGCTTTAAGCCTAATCCTCCCTTCCCACTGGTTGACTTTAGGGCAATATTCCAACTCAAATCAGGCCAGAAATCTCCCAGCATGGGCCTAGCATCAGTCTCCTTAACTGAAGCAGAGGACAAGTAAACATATTTTGCAAATATCCTCTATAGCTATATTGTAAATGGTGCTCTCACTAACAGCAGCTAGCACAACATTAAATCAGTCTCCTTGGCCAGAGAGACTTTGACACATTGGAAACGTACTATAATCTGGAAAAGAGCAAAATATCAAGCAGAACACAGTTCACTAAAGGGGAAATATACTGCCAGATTCTCTTGGAAGGAAACCAAACTATATAAATTCAGATGCAGCAACAATTGGTTATACACAAGGGCAGTCAGAGACTAAAAGGTCTTTGTGGTGTTGCTAACCCCACAAGCATTGATGGAGAACATCCAAAAACTGGGCCAGGTGGTTATGCTACATGCTCTACAATCATAGGTGGGTGTTCATTCCTGCCTGAAAGTTTTTTCGTCATGAATTGACTGTGATATCCCCAATGTGCCTATCTCAACCTTTTCTAATTTCCTCAGTTCCCAGGCCTCAGTATTACCCCAAACTCTCTGGATGGGTAAAGTACCTGATACTTTACTAAATAAATAAAATCTCTGACCCAAATTGCCTATATTTCCCATTCCCTATCTGAAATTTTTCCCTATTTTTCACCCATCTTCTATTCCTTGCATCCCAGAGACTGTAAGAAACTCCCCTCACAGGCTAACCCCTCGGTCTTGTCTTCTCAGCTTTCTCTAGGAACCTGATTTTATCCATTATTTCTATCTGCTGCATCTTCAGTATCTCCCTGTAAGTATATTCAGATCTCTCACGTTTTCCTTCTCTTCACTAGATTTCTTGAAAACACAGTCTCCTTCCTACTACAAATAAAATACACTCAAACATCAACTCCTTGGCCTCCTTCCCAAGCCCCATTGGGCCTCCTCTTCCATTTCCCATTTCTGTTAATGCATTAATGCACCTTTAATGTTCAAAGTTTCTAATTTCTCTTTAATTCCTTCCCATCTCTCAAAGAAATAATAACAATAATGATATCAACTAACATGTATTGAACACTGAGAATGTGCCAAAATCTTAACAAACATTGGCATTTATCCTCACACTGCCTAAAGGGCAAGACTTATTATCTGCTTTTTATATATAAACAAAAGGATAGCCTCGATTTAAAGCTGGTTTACTCCAGTGCCTGTGCTCTTAAAGCCCTTGGAAGGCAGTATTGCATAGAGGTTAACCATTGGCAAGTTCTTTTAATTTTATTTCTGTCTCTCTTACCTCCATCTCCTACTCTCACTGCGATTCTTCAGGCTCTTAAAACATCCTGCTTCCTGGCTAGTCTCAACATCTTTGGTCTTATACCATGCTGTGTGATTACTCCTCCTTAAGAACAACAACAAAAAGAAGAACAGGTCTGATCGTGTCACTCTACTGTCCAAAGAGCTCCAGTGCTTCCTCTTAGCCCATCTTATCAAGACCACGTTGTTGCACCCAAGTCAGCCTGAAGAACCTTATCTTTGCCAATGGCCTCTGTACTCCCACACTTCAGTTTCACTATTCATTACCTAAAATACACATCTGTATATGTCTTAACCTATTCTTTAGGTTTAGATCTGCTCAATTGTTATTTTCTCCAAGAAGGTTTCCTGTGTACTCCATTATCAACCACCACCACTACTACCCCACCCCCACCCCCACCACCTCCATAGACCAGAAGCAATGTTTCTCTTAGGTACCAAGACTATGCTCTTACTTCTTTCTTCTTCTCGCTCTCTCCTCTCTCTCCAGCCCTCTCAGTTTCTTAATCTCTTTTTTAGAGAGTGTCTATCTGTATTCTAATCATCTCTCATTCCATGCTTTACAGGAGCTACATTAAGCCCCATTCAGCCTATATGAGGAGTAAAGGGGTGAAGGACTATGTCAGCCATGTAGTACTATGGTTAAGAAACAAGCATTACATGACAATAGAAATAAGAAAATGAAATGTGGAACAGTAGCACAGTCTTATTATACTCAAATGATACACTTCCTTGGAGAATCCTCAACTGAGGTGCAGTACCAAAAATTCGGTTAGGAAACTTGTTATCAAAGAGATAGCATTAGAACCAATTAGGAATCATGAACATTAGTGAGAAGGGCTCTTCACCCCTCCGTTGAGTATATAATAGAGAAAACATGATATGTGTTCCATTTAGGGAAGATTTTTCTGCCAGTGAAAGTTATTAAGTATGGGGATAAGGTTACTACAGGAAATGATGGGATCTCTTCAGAGGTTTTTAAAAATTGGGTAGATTGTTGTATCTGTGAGTATGTACCTGCAGCCAGTGTCTGGAGAATTTTTACATTTGCTAACTCTCTTATCTGAATTCTGGGCAGGGAATGAATAGACTCACTATACCTTGAAATTCTGATTATAGTTTGTAAAATATGAAAGAGGACACAATAGTAATGATTACACATCCGACCTTTGCTACTTGTGGTTCTCTAACTCTTTAAAAGAGGAAATCTGACTATGAGATCTTCTGCCAGTATTGAACCTTTATAACAGTTAATGGTTTGGGACTTGGTGCATTGTTTGTTTTTTGTTTTTCTTTTTTAATGCTTAACACTGTATAACAGTAGTAGATTGTAGGTGTTAAGAGCAAAGGCACAGGAGCCAGCCTCAATTTGAATCCTGAGCCTGTCACTTACTAGCTGTGTGCCTCAGTTTTCCCATCTGTAAGTAGGGATGTCTTATCATCTGCCTTACGAGGTTGTTGTCTTTACATGAAAGATGTAGAGCAGTGCCTGGCACATGGTAATTTCTCAAAAAAAAAAAAAGGATAGTATTTTTATTTTTACTAAAACATAAATGTTGTTCATTCTTTGTTCAGACCATATAGTTCTCAACAAAGTGTGTTTTCTCTACTGAAGGGATGTGTTGCTCTTGAGAGAAGCATTTTTAGAGATATAGTAACTCTTTTAATAGAAAACCTATGATTTAGCAAAGAGAGTTACATTATTTTCATCAAGTCCCAGACCACAGTTAAGAAAGAACACGAATGCAGGAGGAGATTAAATTTGAATCCTGGGTCTGCTCCTTACCAGCTATGTGCCTTAGTTTTCTCATCTGTAAATATGAATATTGTATATTGTATATGTGATCTTAGGAGACTACTACCACACTTTTTTTAAGTGGTCTCCTTTTCATGGATGTACTACTCAGAAATGATTCTCTAAAAGAAATTCAAATACTTCTGTACATTTGGGTTACTTCTGTCACCAGGATTTGTGAAAGGGATGTTAACATGAAGGTAGGTATTATATTTGATTTATGATGTGTTAAATAGGCTTTTGATAAAAGTCTTTGTAAAAAGCTTTTTTTGCCCCTAGGAATAATTCGGGTTTCACACCAGCAGACACAGTGGCTATCATTTTCTGTTCTACACACAAATCTCTCACATTGGGTAAGTGATTCACAGAGTTGAAAACCAACATTTAATATTTCCCTCATATGGTTGCATCTTAGGATTTTGATACATGAAAAACTGTTCAAATTAAACGCAACAAGGTATTATCCACTCTGTATGATAAAGAACAATAGCAAAGTGAGGCTGGGACATCGTTTTGAAATATTGAGAGAACCAGTTTTTGAGGCCCTAAATTTAATAGTGTTAGATTTAGCTTGATTTATAATCATGTTTTTGATTCCCATAAAAGATTTTCACAGTAGAATGTTAACATTAACAGCCAAGAGAGGAAAAAAAAAAAACACTACTTCTGAAAAAAGAATTGGCAAAAACTTTGCTTTTGAGGGCTGTAAAGTTACCCCTGGAAAATGAAAATTGTTTACTGTGAGCTTGGAGCAAGGTGGAGATAATGTTATTTATTAGTCTAATTCAATATTGACATTAGTTTGAAGTCCATTTTGGAATGTTTTGTTATCTCTATATTTCAAGAAAAAGTCCATATAGTCAGTTTGAACTGAATCTGGAATTGAAAGTAAAATAAGTATTTATTTAATGGACAAAAGTAGATCAAGGAGGAAAGTACTGTTTTCTACTTAGCTTTCTCCAAGTTAGTAACATTATACCAATAACCGGTCCAGATATTTTGAATCTGTGCTTTTAGTCATTAAGTCATTAAGTAATCAGAAATGTTATTGAAGTATACATTATTCACAAACTCCTTGAGCATAGTAGGCATGTTGTGGTAAACACTCACAATAAAACATAGTAGAAACTCATTTTAGCATATGACTCACTCACTTAAGTGAATGAAGAATTATGACTTTGCTCTAGGTCTGCTCGTGTTGAAGAAAGTCAGTCTGTAATCTAGGAAATGAAGATATTTTGCATGTTTTTTTATTAATTCCAAATGCATTTGTCTGATAGAGCCTATATCAATCTTACCAATGATTTAGAATAATTTAGAACAAACTCTTTTAGTAGCAGTTTTATCTAGATCTTCAACTTATTTGAATAAATTAAATATATGGTCTGTACTCTGCAGTATATTCATTTGGTTTTCATAATCATCATTATTACATCAAAGTTTAAGGAACTTTGTGAAGCCGTGTTCCAATCCTGATTTTGCAACCTTGCACAAATCATTTAACTTCTCTAAACCTTAGCTTTCTCATCTATAATATGGGGCAGAATAACACATTCAGTTAGGTTATTGTAAAGATTAAAGATAAAATTCGAAATATACCTAGCACAGTGAGCACAGTGTCTGGTAGGTAGTTGATACATGACAAAATTAATATAATAGTTGTACTGTGTGAATTGCTGTGGGTTAAATGAGAAAGCCTACATAAAGAGCTTGCTATAGTGCCTGGCACATAATAGGCGCTCTAGAAATGGTATTATTAGTCATTATTAACTCTATTAATTATAACTTATGTTACTGCTTCCAGGGTTCCATTTTCCTGGCTCTGTCTTGAAGACTTTCATGTAACAAGTGTGGTTTAGTTGCTGACATCAAAGCAATCATCTTGCACTTGTTTCCCATGTGTGTTATTGTGATGTGGTATCTAATATTCTATTGGGACTTCTGGTGGCATAGTGCCTAAGGCATTTGACTGCTAACCAGAAGGCTGGTAGTTCAAAGCCAGCAGCCACTCCCCTGAAGGAAGACTGGGCAATCTAGTTCCATAGTGATACAGCCTCGGAAACCCAAGAAGGGGTCGCTATGAGTTGAATCAACTGAACAGCAGTGAATTTGGTTTTGGGAGCCCTGGTGGCATAGTGCCTAAGACATTTGCCTGCTAAATAGAAGGCTGATAGGTCAAACCCACCAGCCACTCCTCAGAAGGAAAAATGTAAGGGACTATATTATAAAGGTGGGTAGTCCAGCGGTACATGCTGTGGGATGCCTCCGAGTCCAGAGTGCAGGAATGAAACGAGCCCGTGTCTTCAGAGCCCATGTGGAGCCATGGTTGCACTAAGTATGTTTCTGCATTTCTGCAATGGGCTTTTAAACAAAGCTACCCCTAGGATTTGCTTTTGTCAGGAAAACCAAAATGGATTTTCTTTTTTCCTCTGTGATGTTCTTCTATGCTAGAGCTAGCTATGTTGAACAAAGAATTCTACCCAAGAGCACACTGCAGTATGGTGGTAATGCTTTCTGTAAGCAAAATATCTGCAAGTTAATCTCTTGTCTTTCTGTTTTTCTTAATCCCCAAAGCCATAGTCTTCTGTTCTTGATGCTTTCTGAAAGCTAATTTCCAGACAAATAGATAGGTGCTTTGAACACCAATCAAAAGTAATTGTTATTCTGGAAAGGGCCAGGTAACCTTGGAATTTTGTTTGCTTTTGTAGTGTTCTCCCATGAAATAGGATGGTTAGATCCTCTAATAAGACATTAGTGTAGTATCTAAGTAACTATGTAGCATAAATCTTTAGTTACTTCCATAAAATGACAGCTCTCTTAGAGTTGCAAAACCTGAATACTCATCCTGGCTCTTCTACAAATACTTCTCCAGACCCCCGTTCTCCAAAATTAGAGAATTTTACTAAATAATTTCTAAGGTAGCTTCCAACTCGAATATTCTATCATTCCTTAATCACATTCTGCATGCTCTAAGTAGCATTTATGAAAGTGGGCTCTTTGCTGCTTCCCTTATCTGAGACAGGTGGAATGAATGGATCGTCCTTGTCCTGGGAGTGCTCTTATTGTCACATATAGCAGGGAGTGTTTGAATCCTGTTGCTAGAATGGACCTTGTTGAGCTCTGTAATTTACAGTATCAGCTCTAACAAGATCCAATTCATGTTTCCCTCTACTGGTGACCTGCCATCACTAGTACAAAGGATATGCCATGACAGTAACCTGAGCTACAGGCAGATAAGTATCTCAGTGGAAATTCTTATACACATAGAGATGAATGTGGAGTGTGGAGAATTCGTATTCCAGAAAGCAGGAGGTGGGAAGATCCTGAAGTAATATTCAGAATTATGCTTTCTCTCACTTTTCACGCAAAAGTGAGATATAATAGGTTAGACTATCTATTTGGCACATGAAAAAGATATCTTTCCCTTGTATAATTACTGTCATGTAATATTTCTTCTAATGATTTTACATACATATCTTTAACATCTCAGATAGAATAAATGCATTAAGTGTGCCTTATGAAATACCATGTATTGCTCCAGTCATTGTTTGTATTTAAGAATAGATCACTGTAGGCCAAGTGTTCCCATGTAACCAGTAAACCAAAGAGCAAAACTCTTGCTTGAGAAGCTTCTTGAATATTCTCTTGTATACATACACCTTCAATTTATTTTATTGTTCTTGCTTTTGCCCTATCTCAATCTTTTCCATGTACTTGCATCCACACACATGCTGAATTTGATTCATTGCTTTTATTAGTGCATTTGCCATTGATTGATTAGTTCTTCGTATTAGTACTTTTTCTATTGATTGATTGCAGATGAAGTGACTATTTGACCTTTAATTATGAGGCTTCCTATTGAAAATGACATTGAGCTATGGCTTCACATAATCCATCTGGAAAGCCTGACATGATGCCGTTCCCTGGAGTTCATTCAGGAAGAAAGAGAAGGCCTGGAGGAAGTGCAGAGCTATCACTGTGCTTCATCTAAAACAATACTACAGGGCTTGTTTGCTGCTCTCCTATAGTTTCAACTCAGGGTTGGAGGTAATTTTATATTTTGTCAGGACAACATCACTTGCTGTGGGTTGCCATAAAAGCCATGAACACTCTCAAATTATTCTCTAGCTTGATGCTAGTATCTTTATAGTAATGAGGAGATATTTTACATAGTGGGGACCGAAGAACAGCTTGTCCTCTGCTTCACAATGGTTCAGTGCACAGTCAAGTAAATCAAGAGAGAAGTTCAATCCAAGACATCCTTGTGGAATTGGCATTTTACTTTTATGTATTTTTTTTCTCTTGTGTATTTAAATCCCTACACCAAGAAAGAGAATGTTTAAGGATGTTTAACATCCTTAAGTTAGGTATATTTGCATAAACTAATGAGAGTATTAGAAACTACTAATAGTTTTGAATAATAAAATGAAAGTACATAATCTCAGAGCATATCAAGTGACTACTGGCAGTCACTTGTGAGATTCCCAGATGTTTCTTATTTCCAGAAGTATCTCTGAATTGATCTATTGCTATTTTAATATTGTATAGAGTGTTATGATCAATTTTTATTAAAAGTCCTCTTTGTGTCTAACCATTTATAAACAATTGTATACAAAGGCATATCAAGGCAGCTATTCCTTGTGTTGTTTATTCTTTGTCATGGGTCTGTGGTTGCAGCTACATAGGTGAACTGTGACAAAAACTATGCATTAAGGAAAACAAAAATATAGGTAGACATAGGATTCTGCAGAGTGGAAAGAGCACATCTCTGATTTAGTCTGAATTCAAGTTCCCATTCTCTCATCAAAAACTAGAACTTAACAGCTGTAGGCCTCAATTTTCTCATCTGTAAATTGAGAAGGTGGACAAAATTCCTTGCGGTTTTAAGTTTCTGTAAGTCTGTGCTCAACGGTGGATATTTCTTTTCTATGAGATAACAGCAGTTTCCCTATTAGGTGTGTAAAGGAAAAGAATTCTTGGAAGAAATAGTTATGTAATTTATGTTAGGATGTTATAGGAAAGAAAATGTGGCTGTTGCTTTTTCCTAATGAGGTGGAAAAAAAAAAAAAAACCTACTCTCCAAAGAATGCCATAGGAGAAACAAAATGTTTAAAAGATCTTTTTTTCAATTTTAATTGAAAGCTTTTCAAGAATATTAAAAGATTATGTGCAACTGGAGCTGCAAAGATCATTTAATAGGATTTGGGTTATTTTCTCAAGAGGAAATGGAATTGAAATAAGAAACATTTTATTTCTGTTATTCTTTTTTCTCAAAGCTTATTCATGATTCTGTTTGGCACATGAAGAATATTATCTTAATAAAGTTATCATGCAATCAAGCAGCACTTTTTTT